GAGAAAGATAGATAGAGAGGGGGAGGGGAGAAGGAGGGAGAAGCGAAAGGATAAAACGCGAGAAGCTCGAATTATCATAATATTGGTCATTGCCTGCTGTCCCTCTCTTCCTCTTTCTTCTTCTTCTCTCTCTCTCTCTCTCTCTCTCTCTCTCGCTCTCTCTTTCCCTCCGTGCTCCGAGAAGTCGAGAAGCGAAGTAGCTGACTATCAGACCTCTCCCTTGTGTGTACATCGTACCCGGCGACTTATTACCGCTCCGCACCGCATCGTCGAAGCGTCGTGTCGAAGCGTGTATATGTGTGTCCGTCGCTGATGCTCTCTTCGCTCCACAGCGAAGGAGGACTTCCCATCGTCTCTTTTCAGCGCGTAATTGCTAAGTTTCCGCGGCAAAACCGAGCCGCTGTTGATGATCCGCGTTTCTTTACTCTCGTCGTCCCGCTAACCCTTTGATGCCTCAATGACATAGTTGGACTTGTCGAGATCCTTTGCAGAGCTTACTAATGATCACTTTACCGTGTTGCTGCTTGTATCTGATGTTAATATTTCATCATTTTTTACTGATAAATATATATTATAATTGCGCTAGCGCTCAAAAATTTTGAACGTCTTACAATCTTTAAAAAAATTAATCCTTTTTTTGCAAGTACAATTATGTCACTGAACATATCGACATATATTATTTAGACACTGTTTTAATCAAATTAAAGCAGTGAAAAATTGTACATTTATGATGTTAGCAAGTGAAACATTTTATTTGCAAAAGAATTTTCTTTTAGTTTGATCATTCGATACAATCTTGATATTTGGTTGATTAATTTTTTAATGCTTTTGCTTTAATAATATATTAAATAATGCGAATTTAAGATTATTTGTTTTCTCTCGAAGAGATCATTTTATTTTCTGATATTATTTCGATCATATATTTTTTAATATATAATACTAAACATACTGATATTTTAATAAAATAATTGTACGATTTCATCTAAAAATTATACTTCAAAATTTTAAGCGATAATGCGTATGTTTTACACATAGAAAATGTAAAATCTGTTTAACTTGTAGAATCTGGGCATTGTTTTGAAAAATGATTAGAATCAATACTTAAATGAAATTTTAGCTTTGCGGCATACATTTCGTGTTCCACAACGAGAATTTAAGCTCACAGTTCTGCATTCGTGGATCCGCATAATGCCATCGGCTTCTACTAAGTTGTCAACATCTCTACATGACTACTAAGTTGTTTACCGTCGACCTGGCAAGTCCCGCTACTTCGCAGTCAGTTAAGACAAAGCGACGAGAGCAAGGACACGAGTCATTTTTTTTTGTCCCGACGACAAATTCGCATCGCTTTTTAAAAACTTTTCCTCTCCTCTTAACGAAAATAATCCAAATGAGAATACGCGAACAAAAGCTCCAGTCGAGTCTCCTCCCCTTCGCGATTGATTCCGAAAGGATTCGAAGACGGCTACGGGCAGGTTGAAAATATTTCCACGTTTCACGGGTACGCTCGACGGATCAGAGGGCTCCTCGCATAATGAACCTCGTTCCCATCGCTCCTAATTGTCAACCACGGGCACGTTATTTACCCCCCTCGAGCGGGGAGTTAGGAACGGGGCAACTGATGACGACGACGACGACGACGACGACGAAGATTCGCTTCCTTCTCTGTTTTCTCTCCCCGGCGTCGGTGAATACGGGCCGGCACACGCCTTTGGCACACGAGCGCTTGTATCCGTGGTGACAATGCAAACCGAAACAAACACTTAGCGGCACGTGAGCGGCACGTGGCCGCCAGGATATATTACATTCCGAATGCACACACACTTGACGGACGATTAAAGGGGCGTTACACGCGTGAAGAACCACGATCGTGACAACGATACCAGTCTCTCTCTCTCTCTCTTCATCTCCCACCCTTCCGTTTTTTCCGTCAACTACTTATCATGTTCGTTAGATGCCCCCCCGAGTGGTTGTTACGCGTTCATCAGCCGCATCCTTTATGCCTATGCGAGATAAGCGGAGAGAAATGCCCGTAGGATTTTTGCAATAGGATTTCTGAAATTAAACTTAACAAAAAAAGTGTGAGTTTAAAATTATATTCTAACTACCAAATGGCAAGAAATATGAAGGAGATTTGAGCAAACAATTAATCAGTAAATTTGTAACAGAAATTAATTTGATGTATTCCAAAGAAATTTATTCATAAAAATCTTTGCATCTACATTTTTAGCATTAACATTAATTATTTTAATTAAAGTTAAATGATTTTCAATTTATTTAAGCAGAAATTGCTAATTGTAGGTGTTGATTGTAATTGAAAGTATCTTGAATGAATACCTTAAGATCAATTTTCATTTCATGATTTTACATGTAGATTACACAACGAATCTGCGATAACGATGAAGTGACTGCTATAAATGATTATGGTATTTGAGATTGTTTGATAAATTGCGCTAAACTGAACTTTTTTCCCGTGGATTTAAATTATTGGTAATTGTTTATCTACGACTTAGTGTCTATCTATCTATCTTTGGATCTCCTCTCCTCGACCCTGGATTGCTCTTATCGCATCGCAGTGCGATTATTTTATCGCACCGCGATGCAACGTTTACCTAGGCGTTGAAAATAATGCAATAATAGTTGCTTTTGTAAACTGTAGCATCCTCATTATTCAGAACACACGTGAGTTTTGCACACACATATCGTAAATCTTAACGACACTAATGATTTTATAACGAATTCTGCAATCTGCGAAACTAGATTCTCCGTCGCAAAATTGTTGTTTTACAGGCATTAACTTTTCTTTTTTAATTAAAGGATAATGCCAATATTAGATTTGTCATAAGATAAATTTACGGCAAACATATTAATTTTCACAATTAATTAATTGTGAAAAAAATTATAAGACGTAAAAGAATGGAAATTATGTATTCGATACAAATTCGCATGTTGACAGCCTTATCTTGCGTGTGTGACACAAATATCTCATATGACATGTCAATCTAATTGTAAGACTCTGTCGTGACTTTACTTCTGTATTGCGAAGGAAATGCGATCAAACATCATGCATATAAAGGATAATTCATTCGTTTCTCTGTTTTATTATTAACACAGCTAATCGATTGCGTAAAGTCTTTTTTCCGCACATCAGTGATTCCTACAAAATTGCCACAATAATTGTGCAAAATTAATTATAAATTGACAGTAAAAAAAATTCACTCAATTCACATTGCACAAAATTACTTTATACTCTCTTGATTCAGTTTGTGCACTTTGCTCGCACCGCGCGTAAGACGGTGCAATAATAGTTACTTTTGCAAACCGCGCGTCATCGCGCGTCATAAATTTTCCTCCTCGCGAGAGATACGTAGAAAAGTAGAAAACGGGAAAACAAATAGGGTGAGCGAGAGCGAGAGAGAGAGAGAGAGAGAGAGAGAGAGAGAGAGAAGAGAGAGAAG